AGATAACCTAGTTTACAAACTATTCTACTCTAGTGGATTGTCAAAAATGAATGACGAAGAATTGATAAACTTGGTGGAACAATGTCCTCACCTATACGATCGGTCTCTAAAAAATATAAAATCAATGATTAATATTATTGAATATTTGTTCATACATACCTTCTATCTTATTGTAAAGTAACTGACTTGTAATAACTGTACAGAATTAGAAGAAAATACATATATAACTCCAACATCTCATCACTAATAACATCCATTATGTTGAAAATTATTTCTAAAGTCAAGCTGACACGCTGACAGTGTTTTGAAATTTTAAAAAATAAATGGAAGAATGTCAAATATCCCTACTATTTCCGTTCTCGTTCTCGTTGTTTGTGCACCTGATAAAATATTTCAGTTCTGGTTTCCGTTCTCGTTCTCGTTCACGTTCTCGTTCCCGGGCAATTGTGCAGCCGCCTTTAATCTATAGACGGCATTATGACGTTTCTAATTGGTGTTGTGACGTAACTAACCAAATTTCACAAAATAGGTATCTACGTAACATCGACGCAATATTTCGTCGTATATTTGTGGATAATGTTATTCTTCATCATGCGTGAGTGATATTCAGAAAGTAAATAACGATTTTTTCCATTCAATATAAATCGACTCGAATCAAGTGGAAGTGGAATTTGAAACTCAGGAGATTCTAGGTGAGGATACGTTTAATAATTTGCAACAAATTGATATTATCTGAAATGGAACATCTTGCTTATGTCTGGTATCTCAGAGAATGATTGCTGGAACAAACAAACCTTGAAACGTTATATGTTGCGATAATAAGGAAGTTACTTATTCCATTAGCAGACTATTTTCTCCCAGCTAGATTTTTCACCTAACAGGAATCTATATGATATTAAATCTAGACCAAACCCACCTTTTATGGCAAAGGCATACTTTCGTCAAATTTTCTGGGGAGCTGATGAACTAAATACATAAAGGATTTTTCAGGTGTTTGACTCGTTATGCCTGTGATGTCCTCGGATTCATTAAAACTGAAGAATGTCCTTACCTTGCTAGTAAGCTCAAATGACTAGAGCAGTCAAGTGGGTTTAAATTGAAGGAACGCGAATTTTCAGAATACTTCTGCCCGTTGTTGAGAACACTCGAGAATATTCCTCTCGGAAAGGAGGAGAGGATGCGAAAATTGATGAAAATTAGTCGGAATTAGTGTATTGTTGTCCCTTTTAACATCCACCCTCGTGCGAGCCTATAGGGTTCTTGACCTAATTTAGGCCCTTCGAAACTGGGAGATCTGAAAGGTACGAACACGATGCCAGGATGAATATACAGTGAGTGGGGAAGGATTGTCATCAAAACGTTACCACGAATTCCTGAAATGGTACTAGGCCGATTCAACTAAACTCACATCTGAGTATACACCAGTAAATAGTATATTACACACCGAGGTGGCAAGTGATTCATTCCTGGCGTGAGATTAGTTAGTTAAGCGAGACGCGAAGCGTCGAGGTTAGCTTTAATCTCGAGACAGGAATGAAACTTCCTACCGAGGTTTGAATACTATTTTATTTACAACCATCATATTTCGATCAGAATCAATAAATCTCTGTTTCGTTCTGAACACACCTGAATTATTGCATGAGTAAGGGCGGGAAGTGGGGGCGGGAAGTTGTGAGGGTCGGGAAGTGAGGGATAGGAAGTAGAGGTGTGTAATGTGATACTTCTCAACCGTCAATGACGTTAGTAATTACATAATATATGGTTGTGAATAAAAGTAAATATTATCTCTGGTTAAGAGTTTGGTTCTTCTTGTCACAAAATCCATATTCAATCGAAGGGGCCCAATCTTTCACATAGAGAAATATACTTTCTTGATCATTCACTTCAACAGAACACTCGAATAACTTGTATGAAATCAAAAATCTTTGAGACAAGATCGGTAATGACGGGATCGGGAATGACATATTTCCGACTGATAAAATGAACAACTTGATATGAGTAAAAATATCTTTTTTCTGCAACCGACCCAAAAGTCGTCCATTTTGATACCAAAATTAGCTCCAAAATTGACGTTTCTATTACTGACACAAAAATAGGTATGTTGCTAGGCAACATATTTAGTTCCTAGGAGCAGAACTTGATTTTAGTTCCTAGGAGCTAAAGTTGAACTTTAGCTCCTAGGAACTAAAAAGGATCTACTGGACGTCATCAAGAATAAACAAATTTGTGACGGTTGGTTATTTGGGTTGAGTGGCATACCTGATTTGTTTCCGATTTCAGCAGATTTGGCATTCCATACCCATGCTGGAGATAAAAATACACCTTATTATAGTTTAGTATTGGAATTATAAACATCTCAGTTGAGTATTTTTGTTTTGATCAGGGAAGCCTTCAAGATTCAAATACTTGCTTGATCTGTATTTCATTCGTTATTCTCGGGATGGATAACTTGTTTTTGGATAATCACGGCAAGCAATAGTTTTTTGTCTCAAACAACGATATTGTTAACCTTCATTTGATTATCAAGCGACAAACATTGTATTACGGAGAGGAAAAAATAATTGCTATTCTTATTGTTGATGTGCTCACTAACCTAACATTTTCCAAGTCTTGTTTCTATAGCTGGCACTGACGCGGTATTTGCCATTGGAGCACCTGATCCATACACAAATATGTCACTCTGTGATTGTATTTATATTGAAACTACAATTCGAACATCCTTGAAAATTGAATGAACCTGCTGTTAATGCACGTAGAATGTTCTCACCACACGGATTAGTTTTCAATATTTGTTGCATTGCATACATATGGCACGGTATTGGTGGTAACTTCACATATTTATTTGAGTTATTTGTTTCGGTTGCAGAAAAAATAGCATGTTTCATTCGGATCAAAAGTGTCACTTTTGATCCTAATAAAACAATCTACTATTTTCAATACCAGGACATTTCATCTCTGTTGGCAGGTTATAATATGTCACTTTTCATAAATTATTTTTTTCCCGTGAGAAAAAAGTGAGTACTTGATGGCTTTTGTTGTGCTATGGTTTCCAAAAATGAGTCAATAATACCGTCTCCGAGAAAGAACTGCAAGGCCTTTATCTTCCATTCAACTTCGCGGTTACGTATATTACTAAACAACCACTAAATTCGCAATTTTTCGAAATCAAATCACAGAATCAGACTGACAGAAGTGACATCAGATATTTGATTACTTCAAAAGAATGATAAAGATGCCTACAACGTACATGTCCCTACTGTTAAAAACTTAAAATTTCACGTCGATAATTTTCAGATTTCAAAATAATGTAATATCTTCTCAATATTGATTCGTTCTTTCTTCTGTCACAGAAAAAAATACTGTATTATACACTGGAAAATTATTAGATTTTGGCTCACGGTCACAACCTGGAGCTAAAATCTACTACTTTTTTCCCTTGTATAATAAATAACTATTCTTGGGGTAATAAAGACAATCAATCAATCAATTTCTTCTTTTTCAGTGACAATTGGAATTTGAAATTATTTTATTTTACTCTAATGCACTAGTGCTGTAAAGTAACACTAGTGCTGTAAAGTAACACTAGTGCGGTAAAGTATCGCTCATTACGAAACTGAAATCGGTGGTCAGTGAATCAAAAATTATATACAGGGTGTTTCAAAAAAACCTGACCCCCTTGCTAGGGTAGGTAGAACACTGCAAAATAAGTTGGGTTTGCTCAGTGAAAAAATGTCGTAACGGCATCCGTTTTCATGATACAAGGTGTTGAAAAAATGATTTTTTTACACATTTTTCACGATTATGTCGAAACTACTGGCAACATTGTAATGAAATTTTGTATGGATGTTTCTTGAAATCTGACACATCGCATGAATTTGTTTTTATATCTGACTCTCATAGAGGGCGCTAGTTACACGGTTCGTACCGAGTAGTTTAGAACATAACTTTTCTGAGCTTAGATTTTCCAATCCAAATATGATAAAAACTTCAACATCATTCAATTTTACACCAAAAAGGTACTCTTGGTGAAACTCGATACTATGTTCCGTTTTCGGAATATTTCGATTTGAAAATAATGGAGTAGTAATGATGCTGGTATAAAATGAATTTTATTGAGTTCAATTACCTATTCATTCAGATTCAAGAACAATAAAATTATTCTTGTGATGAAGTTATTGATAGAACAAAGAATCATAAGTAAAAAAATTAAGAGATATTTGACTAGAAACATGAAATATTGAATCAGTTAGAGTAAGTGTTCAAAATTTCCAACGTTTCGCCGAATTTACGATTCTATATTCATTTCTTGAGAATGTATTATTCTTCTAAACAGTCTTACAACTCTTGACGTGAATTTACCTATGTAGCATAGACTTTCTGCTCAAGATACAACAAAACTGTGTAATCCATGTTTTTAGTGAAATCTGTTTCGATGTTATTCTTGTTATTCAATGTTGAATCATAAGTTTAGCATCAGAAATGTATTGTTGTTTTCGGTTTTCAATAAATAGGTGATAATTTTTCATAACACTCACTCTAATGCATAGCTTTATACCAGCATCAGTTATCACCTTTTTGATGTGAAATTGAATGATGTTTGAGTTCACATCAAATTTGGATTGAAAAATCTAATCTCAAAAAAATTATGTTCAAAACTACTCGGTACTAACCGTGTAACTAGCGCCCTCTATGAGAGTCAGGTATAAAAACAAATGCATGCGATGTGTCAGATTCCAAGAAACATGCATACAAAATTTCATCACAATGTTGCCAGTAGTTTCGACATAATCTTGAAAAATGTGTAAAAAAATAAATTTTTCAACACCTTGTATCTTGATAACAGATGCCGTTACGAATTTTTTTTAATGAGTAAACCCAACTTATTTTGCAGTTTTCTACCTACCCTAGTAAGGGGGTCAGGTTTTTTTGAAACACCCTGTATATTTTAAGATTTCAGAGATATTGTTGTCAGACTATATGACCTTGACCTTTGGTTGCAGGCCTGTCCTTGGGCACGGGGCTCGTGATATTCGCCTCGTCGCTGTCGGAGACGGTCCTGGAGATCACGCAATACCACCGGGAGCCCCCCTTCGGCCCCCTCTACGACTACCGATACGGGTGGTGCTTCTTCGCGGCGGGGGGTGCCTTCATAATGACCAACATGGCCGCCCTTTTCTCCATCTCCGGCTATCTGAATCGGTTCGCCTCCGTCGACGAAATGGTAAGAGATTGAAGGGAAAATATGCCGACGAGCGGGCCTTCAATGGGCCGTTAATTTTTTTTTTCTTAGGATTGCGAAGAAATCCTGCTAGCACAGCATTGTGTCTGACTTTCATTAAATTTTATCTCATTACCGTATATTAACAATTCTTAGACGACTCATGTTTTTCATACATGGTGATTCATCAAGAAAGGGAAATATCTGAACTACAGATAGTGAACAACAAAATACAGTGTATCCCACTTACCATGCTCACCATGGGTATCTTTTTAACGGTGAGAGATACGAGGTCGGTTAAACGACACCAAATGTGGAGTTTGTCAAGGCCAACTATTATGTGAAAATAATTTTGATAAAATCTATTCGTTTTTAAAATAAATAAAATATGAAATTCATACCAACTCTTCTAGAATTTGAGATATGTATCAGCATCAACTTTAGTTTTTCAAATGTAGGTCATAGCTCACTATGACTGAGTTATAAAATAACTTTTTTTTCTCTTACAGATGATATGTCGCAGTAATAGTTTTGTGTTGATAACAACGGAGTTATCGTCATTTATACAAGAACAAAAAATTATTCGGAAGCCGCCATCTTGAATTTATGAATTTTAACAAAAAAATCATGATTTCCGACCTCAAAAACCCCCACATACCAATTTCGAATGGAATCGGACCAAATCTTGCCCGCCATCTTGGAGCAGCCATTTTTTTTAATTTCAACAAAAATTCCATAACTCCGATTAACTTGAAATTTGGCAGGTGTTCATAATCTTTGGAATTTTTGTTGAAATTAAAAAAAATGGCTGCTCCAAGATGGCGGACAATATTTGGTCCGATTCCATTCGAAATTGGTAAGTGGGGGTTTTTGAAGTCGGAGATCATGATTCTTTTGTTAAAATTCATAAATTCAAGATGGCGGCTTCCGAATAATTTTTTGTTTTTGTATAAATGACAATAACTCCGTTGTTATCAACACAAAACTATTACAGCGACATATCATCTGTAAGAGAAAAAAAAGTTATTTGTAACTAAGTTATAGCAGAATGCTTATTATGTATTATATACACTATGAACTTAAGGCCGTGTGGACCGTTTCCTAGGTGTTGGGAAAACAATTCATTTGTTGTTAGATCAAAATATTCTTAATCACAATATTTTATACTTGAATTTCCTTTGCTGAAGGCTTTCTGGTGAAGCAGGGTTTGTTCACTGAGATAAACTCTCTACCTGCTTTCAGGTGAGTGATGTGAGTCTTCGAATTTATATTATATTATTCAGCAAAATAATGTTTCAGAATTGTGAATGTTCTCGTAATAAATATAAGAGGAAAAAAACTAGTTGGAATAGACTCATTATTGACGCCCCTGAGATCCATTTCTATTCAACCTATTCCACTACGTTACAACTTGGCGAACCAACGTGGGGCCACCAAAGTGATGGAACAAGCAAAGGAAGGAGCAACTCATCATTACAACACGCGGCTTCAGGGTAGAGCTATCAGGAAAACATTACAAGATGATGATACTACGAATGACCCATTCTGCAAGGATAATCACTGGGCACGAAACATAGAGAGAAAAGCTGGGAAGACTGATGGAGTGTTACGAGGAGCAAGCAGCGCTATTTCATTAACAGCGTCGACAGACAGGACCAGGATTCAGCATGAGCAGGATGGTAAACACAATATTGAAAAAGGTAGGAGTGGAAAATGTTATCTTACATCAGCGAGCTGTCCAACCAATTTCCAGCCAAACCTGTTCCAAGCGGCTTGTAATCCATTTTTGAATATCAGTGAAACTCATAGGGAACAAATCTTAGACGCACATCACTCACCCAATCCGGAGTTCTTCACTTGCAAAGTCTCTCCGAACAGAGCTCAAACGGCAAATAATAGCCCAGAAGATTTCACTCATATGCATTCTGCAACAAATTCCAATAATTTCGTAAATAGTCACTATTCTGAAGCTCATGATGGGGTAGACCGTCATTATAATCAAATGCATTACTGTAGGGAGAGAAATCATGATTTTTTTCTTCCGGAAAGTTACAGATTTTTTACCAGAGTTCTCAGGCGAGAACATTCATCCAACTCAATTCATAACAAAACTCGAATTTGTGTTAAGTCAATTTGACAGACCCTTCAATCATTTTGTCTATTGGATACAACCATTGTTCATTAAAAATGCAAAAATTTGGGCAGAAGCACATTTACCAGATATTTTTGTTAATTTCAAAGATTTCAAAAGAGGTTTTTTGGAACATTTTTGGGGTTTTAATCAACAAAAGGAAGCTAGAACACTATTGGAAACTGGTAGTTACAAAGCCTCAGACGGATCATTTGTTGATTACTTTTTGAGATTGCTGGCAACTGGTCGTCATTTACAACCGTCTTACTCAGATGATTATCTAATTGCTATAATAGCTAGGCATTTTCCAGAAGCTGTTGCTTCTCGATTAATTGCAGTTGATAGTATTCCGGAAGCTTTGAATGGTCTCAGACGTGCAGACTTTATCCTTAAACCTCATCATCGTACAGATGAGTACCGTATGAATAATAAATTTGGTGATTCTTATCGGCACGATTTCAAAGGACAACCTAGAAATAATAATCAAAGGTATGTGGAAAACGAAACATCACGTGATGCTAGGTATCAGCATAAATTCAAAAAAGAAACAGCTCAAAATATTTCCGTGGTTGAGTTTGACGAAGGTGCAGAGCAGGAAAACTAAACCCTTCCCGCTGTTGTCTCAGTTCGATAGCGGGAATTGAACCAAAATATACTGATTTCTCAATTAAAATTATAAACAATAATCCTAGGGATGATCTTCTAAAAGAGGATTGTGATTTTTTTCATAGTGCCAAAGCAAAAACTCCTGTTATTGCTATAAACGTGGGAGAAACGCAGTTTCCTGCACTATTGGATACAGGTAGCGATATTTGTTGTATGAGTTCTGAGGTTATGAGCCAGATTTCGGTATTGATAGAGAAATTACCTATTTTTAGGGTTAGTGGCATTCGTATAACGGGAGCTTTCAAGGCTCGTCAGAAAAAAGTCATACATCAGATATTTTTACCATTCCAAGTACAAAATCAAGATTTTGAATTCGAATTCTTGGTGATTGAATCTCTGATCTATCCGATAATACTGGGTATAGATTTTTTGAGAAAATATCAGGCTGTAATAGATTTTTATGATGATGAAATTTTTTTCAATGTGAATGGTTCTTTTTTGAAAGTTTTAAAATTAGATTGCAAACATGAATTACAAGCTCCAGTGAATAAAACAATATCTATTCGTGCTGTGAATCATTCTTTTCCGTCCATTCCCAGTGAGCGAAGTAATCAACCCATTAACATAGAGGGAATTTTCGATCATATCAATCTTGAGGAAGATAAAATTGTTATATTCCGTAAGTTCATTAATGGCTATCGAAAACTATTTTCGGATGAACCAGGATTGACCGATAGATACGAGCATTCCATAACTCTCAGTGATGAAACCAGTTTTTCGGTTAAACCATATCCTATTCCAATTGCTCATCGGGCTGCCGTGCAAACAGAAATTGAGAGACTAGAACGGTTAGGAGTCATTGAGCGTGCTAATTCGCCTTTCTGCAGTCCGTTGATGACCACGGTCAAAAAAAATGGTAGTGTGCGATTGTGTTTGGATGCTAGGAGACTAAATCGTGTCATGGTTATGGATAATGAATTGCCTAGACCAATAGATGAAATCATGAAAGATTTAAAGGGATTCAAGTTTGCATCATCACTAGATTTGACAAGTGGGTATTGGCAAATTCCAATAAAAACTGAACATCGCAAATTCACAGGGTTTCGTTATGGTACTAGGTGTTATCAATTTAAGGTTTTGCCTTTCGGTTTAAAAACGGCAGTAGCTAGTTTCACACGCTGTATGGATCTTGTATTAGGACCAATATTACATAGACACTCGGTATATATTTACTTAGATGATATACTGATCTTGAGCGACTCTTTCGAAGAACACATAGATGTATTGGGCAAAGTTTTTCAATGTCTTTCGCAGGCGGGTTTCACTCTCAGATTGGAAAAATGCGAATTTTTTAAAACAGAAATAAAATTTCTTGGCTACACTTTGAAAGAACACGGTATATGTCCCGACCCTGATCGAACAAAAGCTATTCGAGATTTTCCATCTCCCAGAAATATTAAGTCTCTACAAATGTTTTTGGGATTAGCAAATTTTGACAGGGTGTTTTGTGAAAATTTTGCAGCGATTGCAGCTCCATTAACAAGTCTGCTAAGAAAAAATTCTAAATGGAAATGGGGTAAGATGCAGCAAGATTCTTTCGACGAACTGAAGGCGCTTCTCTGTCAAGAAGTTTGTTTGTTTCATCCTTCAAGAGACATGCCATTTTTTGTACAGTGCGATTCGAGTGATTTCGGTTTAGGTGCTATTCTATACCAGATAGAAGGGAGTATGAAAAAAGTTGTAGCTTACGCTAGTCGCAAATTATTGGATAGGGAGACTAGGTACTCAGTACCAGAGAAAGAACTCTTAAGTATCGTTTTTGCACTTCAAAAGTGGAGGATTTATCTAATTGGCAAGGAATTTGTGATACGAACTGATCATCGTTCTTTACAATATTTGACATCTTGCAGATTATTATCCCCAAGAATAACGAGGTGGGTATTAGCTCTGCAAGAATATTCTTACAAAATTGAATATATTTCGGGTTCAAAAAACATTGCAGCAGATGCTTTATCTAGGAACCCAACAGAATTATCACTCAACCATATAGATAATTCATTTAGAATCTTATCGTTGATGAAATTTTCTGCAGAATTCAAATCACTGCTAGGAAATATGACAGTACAACAAAGAGCGGATAATTATCTGTTGGATAAAATGCAAAAAATCGAAAATAACATAGAGTGTGGTGATTTCATTTTGCACAATAATACGCTGTATGCGGTAAGAGATAGTAAGTATTTACTTTGCGTGCCTCAAAATCTAA